AAAAACATATGTAAGCAGTGAATAACGCGTAAAACACGTAAACCAATTTGGCGTTTTACGCGCAATACGAGTTGCCCCACTACTCTAATATAGAGTCGGGAGGGGAATATATATGAAATTATAATAATATTATGAAGTAGTTCATTCGAATGTCATCGTGTCACCACCACGCCGCACCGTATCACAGATGTGATGAAGACTACAACCACAAACGAATCAACAGTAGCAGCGTTAGGGATAGATATACGGCAACTGATAAACTGAGGTACTGAGCTACTCACACACTGGAGATTATGACTATCATATCGTCACTACAAGCAATGATGATGAAGTTTCACTTTTTGTTCGCGAAGTGAAATGTGAAATCTAATTTTCTTATCACGGGTGAAACTCCACTGTATTAAAAAGGATAATATAATTCACCATGTTGAAGTTTTTTTCCAAAATTTTGTATAATTTTTGATGATTGTCATTAGCAATAAATTGGCATCAGCGTTGATACCACGCCTCCGGTTCATTATCAGAATTATTCAACACTAAGGGCGATCGAGAAAAAAGGATTTTACTTTTTACTATATACGGTTTACGCCACATCTAGTTTTAAGAAGAAGTATGAGTTCGGGCTTGTTGTAATAATTATGTTTTTTATGAAGTTGAAAAACACCAGCGAAAAATATACTTCACAATTCACTTCGTAGAAAACAACGACTGCGTAATCGACAGCGAAAACATATACACTATCACATCACTTCACGTTAAACGGGTGAAGCTCCAACTTTCATGATCACAACTATTAATAGAAAATCATCAAGTGCTTCAAAATGGTATGTGTTTTTGTGAGAAGGTATCAGGATGCCCAACGCGACTATGGACGCTTGGTGACACGGGATGAGATACGATCTATGACGGTGCACCAGAGGTAAGTAATAGTAGTTACTATTATTATTACTGTATATTGGTATGATCAGGCACCAGACTATGATGAATATAGCGTTATCGAGGAAACAACAACAACATGATAGTCATCAACACTCTGATAGCAGTGTAGGTCGGCCTTTTCACGAAACTGATTATGGAATATACTCTTTATAACACATGTGTTATAAAGAGTATATTAGAGTAACATTAGCGTTATAAAGAGTAACGCGTTAATCGCTGGTTTTTTCACTATGTTTATTATGCAATATTTTCTTCACAGCACACTTGTTTAACGCGCTAATCGCCGGCTAAGTTTATTGTGAAATATACTCCTCATAACACAAGTGTTTAACGCGTGTTTACTCGCCAAGACGGCCGGGTTGTGAAATATTATGTTCATCATCATTCTTCCTGTTGTTCAATCATCAGCGTCGACCCCTCAGTGATTACGCTGCGTTGAAATCCAAACATAAATTCGTGAGAGAAGAGGATGATGATGAAGATGATGATGATTCTTGGGCTAACAAATTGGCTAAGGAGTGAGTGATGATGATCTTTGCGCGTATCTTTGCGCACAGCGAAGATTTTTTATTATTATCGTGTAGATACTATGATAAGCTGTATCATGAATATGTTATTTGTGATTTGAAAGGATATAAAAAAGATCGAATTGGATTTCGGTGGCAAACGCAACAGGAGATGATGCAGGGTAAAGGGCAGATGAGGTGATAATAGAGTTTCACAATTACACGTTTTACGTGAAGTGGTGTAAATGGCGATATGAAGTGAATCGGGAACACGTCGAAAAACGTCCCATTACGTCGTCGCGTTATTCACTGCTGCTCACATGGTTTTTTTTCACAGTGGAGTGAAATGTGAGATAAGTTTTTCACTAATGTTTTTTTTCATATCACCGCTGAAACTTCACTCATTGAGAATTAATTAGAAAAAGGCACATCCTTTTCAATAACATCAACCATTTCGTATAAATTCGTTGTTGACGTTGTGGGAAAAAAATTCCGGGATGGTGGAGTTTCACACGAGAATATAAAACTGAACATCGCGACTCAGAATTCATCAGTTTTTTAGCCTGCGTACTTCACCCCACTATTTCGTATCAATTTCACACACGTTATTATCATTCGACATTCACCGTTTGCGAATAATCGTGGCCCTGAAATCAGTTAAAAAGGGTAGAGATAAAGCCAGAATAAAATTGCGCAGTATTTGAGGTTATATCAATTCAACCGTATTCTCGCGGACTGTTTGCTGAGGTGCAAGGGGAGGCCTATACTATGATGAGTGTATACAGTACGTGGCAATTTGAACAAGTTGTCGCTATCATCACAGGCCTAAACGGGTACTTTGATGGCAACATTGTTACATTGGAGTTTCACAACCCGTTTTACGTGAAGTGGCGTAAAACTCCGTGAAAAACGCGATTTTCGCGCTATGCAGTAGTCGTGAAATGTGTTTTTCACTAGTGTTTTTCATATCACTAGGGTGGTGAAACTCCAGTGTATATGCGGTATAGTTCCAGATCGATTCTCATTACTATCGGAAAATAACTCACATTTGCATATCAAATTGGCAGGCACTGCATAATAACAAACGAAGAACTAGGTTTGTGAAATTTCTGGTTTTTATGAATTTTCCTTAAAATGAAGGTTTTTTATCAGATGCGCAAATATGCGATGTAATTCTACACAGCATTTGCGAACGTTTGAAGTTGATTTTTCGTATAAGGAGCATGGCGAGCGGAAGAGGGAGTTGGTGAAGGTGAAAAATGGTGGAAACGGGCCGCTCGAAAATACATGTTCGCTTTTCTTGGCTGAGCTATTATACAAGTTTACATACGGATTAGGGTAGGAATATCTTGGAAAAAATGATAATTTTCTCGGAATTTTCATACTGTCACCAACATACGTAGTTTTTCCATGTGCATATTTTCCCCCTCATATTTATCAGGTGCGGTTGTGTTATCAATGCAGCATAAAGTTGAATTGGAAGTGGATACGGCGGGCTAAGAAGAAAGGAAGGGAATTCCGTATTAAGAAGGATGAGGAAGAAAATGAGGAAGACGATACTGTTATTGATATCACTGAGGAAGGTAGTGTTACTTGAAATTATCATGTCGGTTGTGGGAATTGAACTGGAGGTCTTAGGGAAGGAGGGACAGGTGCTCTACGTCTGGAGTAGATGTACTGTTTCTATCTTCGGATGTGTCACATTGTGCTCGACATTTTCGATGGGCACGAATTTGAATTTGGAGTTTCTCATTGAGGAAAATAGTTTTTATAGAAAAATCAATGGAGAAAGTCGTGGACGCGCTATGCTGTGTTTTCTACTTGCATTTTGACGGGCCTGGGAATTGAACCCAGGGTCTTCGGGTGACGTTTTATATTCAGATAGTCGGGTGAAGGAAGAGCCTGTTGAAGGTGGTGAGGATGCTGATGATGTCGATGAGAACGACAAGGAAGCTCTGAAGGTGGGGGTGGCGCAGGTTCGATCCCTGGAGGGGACATTTTTACAGGTTCTCGAAGAAAGAATGTGGAGAAATGACGGGCAAGCAGGCGTTGATAATGGAGAAGAAAAACGCGCTAATGAATTTGAAGATTACTTCAATGAACTTTTCCAATAATTTAATAGGAGGTTTTGAGTTGATGAAAGTAGTTGATATTCACCATGGGGAGAAAAGGAAACTGAAAAGGAAGAACATTCATTTGCGGTGTATTGGGATTTTTTTAATGAGCAACAAAGCGGATGGTAACAAGAGTTATCGGGTTTTTCGCACCAGCATGAACTGGGACTTAGTCTAGGAATCAAACCGCAGTGAGCCTTTGTGTATGCGTGCACCACATAATCGATATCAGGAAAGACTTCAAAATGAAGTAGCTTCCGGGAGCGTGTGATTATACTTGGACTAGCGAGCTTGGATATTCTTTTGCAATCTCGACATAACAACACAAGAGAGAATATTGTACAGGAATATGCAATATACGAATAAGTGGTATAAAATGCATTTAAGCTTCAATGAAAGAATTGTCAACTTCGACAAAATAGCGATAGAAACCTTGACAGATTCTTAGCATCGAATCTATATCTTCAACCGAACATGTTTCCCTGAAAAAATAGCATGATAATAAAGGCATTACGCGTTCTCATGAATCGACATGAATAGGAAACACTGTTGAAGAGAATTAGAGTGAGCTACCGATCCACCTTAGGTCGACCTTGCCATTTTCCTGAGTTCCGCGATAACGTAACGACGTAGTCGGGGGAAATTTCCAACAGCTCAGAGACAACTGTCTTCATTTTACCGTTGGAAATTTCCCAGAATTTTCCTATAAATTTTCCCTTTTGTATTAATAATATATAGCGAATGCTCATGCACAAGAAAATATGAAAATTTACATGACATTTTTCTGTCGATACCAACCATCGTACAAATTTCAAAATACTGACAAATATCTTCATCACACAGACACGTAGTAGATACATTCCCACTACCTTATCGAATGCATTGCCCATTGAGTAATGCCCAAATCTACTGTACGAATACCCAGATTGGCAGAGAGCATAGGACCAATCGTGGATCCGCTACTGGTGCCATTCTTTACAGTGAACTCTTGTAAGGCCACCTGCATTACAGAAAATGAACACTTTTCATCCTGCAGAATTTCTCTCATATACTAGAGCACTCAGCTATAGCCATACATATATACACAGCGATGAAAAATATGTTTGCTTTCTTCAGCTCAGCTGAATATACATGTTAACATACGATATCCGTATGAAAATGTAGAGGAATCAATGAGAATGTACCGAAATTTCCTCAGAATTTTCATTTCCTCACCAACACATGTAGTTGACCATGTGCACATTCTCCCACATTGTAGATGAATATATTACTATTTACTCGAAAAAAGGTTATATATAAATCGTTATCATTGAGACGTTATAGATACCTTAAATTGGCAAACACTCTCGAAAATAGCTTTTCATGATTTGGTTCATTTCTAGAGGAAAATATGCACATGGTCAACTACATGCGTTGGTGATAATATGAAAATTCTAAGGAGACTCCTATTTCTCTACAATTCTACCCGAATTCGTATATACATTTCTATAACTACTCCCAGCTGAAAAAAGCGAAGATATATTTCCCAACACTGGAGTTTCACCCGTGATGTGAAAAACACTAGTGAAAAACACATTTTACATTCCACTTCGCGTAAAACGGGTGAAACTCCACTGTAGTAGACTTACATTCGCTTTCTTGGCAACAACTCGAGTGATAGCAGTGGTAACAGCATTGGTAGCATAAAGTTGGTTTGGGTTGATTTTAATACCAACACCTTTTCCTAGACCTGTCTTATGCTCCGCTTGATGACGATCAGCATAATTTGGGTGAACTGCATGTTCGCCATCTGCCGAGATCAATATAGACCTAAACCGATTTTAAAAATGACAAGTGCAGGGATCGAACCCGGGACCTCATCCTCCTCCTACCGTGCCACTAGTTGAGAGTAGTCTTCCTTGGATGAGAAGTTAGCGAGGACTCTCTCAATCCAGCACTGGACGCTCTTGGAGCCAGCTCCAGTCGCACTGCGCGAACCAACTTCCTCATGATTGAACGCGACAGCAATAGAGAGTTGGGAACCTGAAAATTTTAAAAAATGAAAAAATTTTGGGAATTTCTTGTTAATTTTACCAACTAGAATTGGAGGGTTGAAAGGCATCAAGAATTATTAGATTTGGAGTGTGAAAGTATGTAATAAGAATTTGTGAAAGAAATTCGAAAATGTGATTTTTTCACGCACGATTATACAAAAATATAGAATTATGCGCAACACATATTCAAATTCTCATCTGAAATATTACCTTTAACGAGTTCGTCAGCGTCCGTAGTTATAGCAGAAAACGCAGAGAATGTCGAGACGAGGTTATCAAGCCTTGCTGAGGCCAGGAACTCCTCATACAAGCCGACAAAGGCCGCCTTGGTGGAGTCCATCATACAAATATCGAAATCGAGAATGTCTTCAACCTGGCATCTGAGGAAAGCAGTGTGGGGGGGAAATATGCACATAGTCAACTACATGGGTTGGTCACAATATGCGAGTTTCGGAAAAAAAAATTCGGAAATTTCTCAATGATTTCTACCATAATTCGTGTATAAACTTGTATAACTAGTGAGGAATCTCCTGAGCTCAGGTGAGGAAAGCGAACATATAGTTCAACAGCAGTGGAAAAATTACATTGGCAAATGAGCAGGAAATTCAACAGAAATTAAATCAGAATACTTTCGAGAAAATTTCTTTAAAATTATGTTTGCTAAAAAATCGGGCGAAAAATTATTACCCGAAAAAAGGTAAAATATTATGACGATTATATATTACCCGGCTTCGTCGGCGAGAAGTTGCAGAAAAACTTTATGATTGCCGCGAATGCGCTCTTCGGTGGTCGCATGCTTCTTAGAACAAAATACGGGGATGAGGTGCTCTTCAGGATTGAACTGAAGAAAGAAAAATTTCACCATGTGGGAAAATATGCACATGATTAACTACATGTGTTGTCGCGACAGTATGAAAATTCTGGGAGGAAATTCTGTGGAATTTTTTAATGGTTTCTGTACATTTCTACCAAAATTTTCTATAATTAGTGAGAAAAGCGATCAAATATTTTAACACTGGCAGGAATTGAACCCGGGTCGTTCGAGAGACCTACCTTGAACGCTGCCCTCTCCTCGTTACTCTGCAGATGACGACACAAATTGGGCAGAATGGCAACCGGACGGTCCACTCGCACCAATTTCTCATGTATTTTACCATCATGAGAATACACTACTTTGCCAGCTAGCCCGAGACCACGATCAAACCAAGTGTGCCACAAGCCGCCACCATAAGGGGTGACACCGAGTTGCAGCATACCCTCTGATTCTCTCGCCGAATTCGGACGCAAACGCAAACAAGGAGAATCTGTGTGGGTACCAATAATGACCATACTTGAAGTGGAAGGGTCGAAGTCTTTGCCA